TTTAAAAAAAAAAAAAAAGAACATGGCGCATGGTATCCTTCGCTAAGTGAAGTATACGGTGTCATTACCCACTTGATGTTCCCATTACATCATGAGTGCAATTCAGTTTGGGGAAAACAGTTTAATGCATCACTCAGAAAAAAAATAGTTTATATTTTCCCATCTCCAACAAAGCAGTAATTATGAAGTCCAGCGCCACCAGGCAACCTTCATTCTGTCCCATACCGCTGAAAGTGAATCCAAAGCAGGCCGGACGTCCAAAATGGTGAACTGGTAGTCCCGGTTAACTTCGCCACCATCGTAGTAGTCGATAACATATCTGACTTCTGTCCCGCAACGGTTGACGATCCAATCATGCCTGTCAAAAGGCAACTCATACCTGGAATGAAAACATGCTAGTGAGTGTTAAAAACGTTTGCGGTGTGTTCATCTCTGGTTTCAGCAGTGAGAAAGTTGGAGAAGCAGCGCGTGGAAATGCCTGCTCTCAGAGTCAAACATTGAACTGGGGAGGTGAGACTGAAAATTCATCTCCAGAGCTGGAGGAAGGTGGTGAAAACCGTGATGAGCCCAAATCAGATGAGATAGCTTGTCTGTCTACAAAGGACCAAGGGAACAGGAGAGGGACCCAGGCCAGGGAGGTGGGCTGAGATACTGTGGAAATCCAGGTGTGAGTTAAGAATCTGACCATGCTGGAAGACAGAGGAGGAAGGCTAAGTGCACAGACCAAAGAGATCAATCACGGGAGAAATAAGAGGACAGATCCAAGAACACAGAGACAACTCAATTCAATCCCATGCTAATTAGCTAGGATGCAACCCATGGAACCTAATAAATCTGCCCACCGACAGGCCAACTTCAGGGAGAGGAAGGAATCTAAAGCCGAACACTGATTAGTTCTGGAAGACGGCACTGCAGTTCTTAGACTGTTTGGTTTCGGTGCCAAGAGAAAGCAGACCCTGACCTGAGAAATGTAAAAGGACATTTCTGCCCCGACACTCACCCCATCCAGGAGCGAATTCTTGCCCTCGGTGAATACTCTTTTGCTTTACCTCCGAATCGGATCAGTGAGGGACCACAAGGACACTCCCTAGAAATCCCCAAATGAGAAAACTCCATTAAAATATTTTCTTTCCTTTGAAAAATATGATTTGCAGTTTCTCAACAATATACATTTTCTGTATGCATTTTACATAATATCATATTTACAGAGAAAGGCAACTTCGAAAACATTCCAAGAAATACCTTATTCATTAAAACTGCTGTTCTTTATTTCTGGATCAGGTACATTCCACTCCTCCCCCTTCCTTCTGAATATCTGCACTGCTCTTTGCAGGAGTCAAGAAATAGGGCCTTTCTACTGGGTGCGAGGAGACAGGCAAATTCCCAGGAAAAAAAGAAGTGTGAAGTATTGGGTACCATGCTTCTTTTGCATACAGCAGCTACGATTTTTCAAATGAATATAAGAAAATCCTATACTCTTCTTTCATTTGAAACCAATGAACAGCCTTTCTAAAGAAAAATGCTGGATGAATCCCTAGAAACTAATGTAATTAGTGTTGGACCAGCTCTTAAAGTAATGACACACAAGCTGACAGGTGGCAAGGTCCTGGCTAGAAAATCCACTTCCTCTCTCCGCAGACCCTTGGTGAGGACTTCCCAGGTGCCAGCCAGCCGGCTTCCTGGCACTGGGGGTCCAGCAGCATCACACACAAGACCCTCTGAGCCCTGCACTTGTGAAGCTTACAGTCGGCCTACACATGAGGAACACAGCTGTGTCCCCGATGGAGGGGGAGGTGGTACATCCAGGAGGCCACCTATCTTGGCAGCTGCTCTCATTGGTAAGACAGGCTTCAGCCTTGAGGGGTCTCTCTAAACAACCCAAGGGTAATGGACCCGTATGGGAGGACTATCTGAGTTGCTTTACTTCTCCCCTTGGGAACTGCTCATTAGCATCTCTTCTTAAGAGGGTCACAGGCAAAGAAGTAAACTCAACCCAAGCAGACTTTCTCCTGGAGGCCATAGCATGTGTCTTTAAAAGACCGACTTAATTTTGATGGAACTCTGGAAAATGACTAGAAGGGAGTTGAAACCAACCAACTGAAATTTCCTTTTCTCTCTTCTCTGCTCCATAATCACGCTACAAGTAATTAGCAGGTGGCTTTATAGCACACTTGCAGCATAAGTCACTGCAGATGCTTGTGGGTCCCCTCGTTAGCAAACCAGGAGGATGACTGCTGCCAGTCATGGGTTACTGAGAGGGGAAACGTGGTTGCAGCGTCATTTGCCCCACACATGCACCCATCCCAGGCCTGGTGCCCAGCCAGTGACACCCAGGGAGTGACTAATGAACTTCAGAGTCTACATATTAAAACAAACAGAACACCTTAAAAAATCACTAGGTGGATTTTAGTCAAGAAATAAATCAATCAGGTGCCAGCCCAGTGGCGCAGAGGTTAAGTGCGTGTGCTCTGCTTCAGCGGCCTGGGGTTCGCCAGTTCGGATTCCAGGCGTGCACCAACGCACCGCTTGTCAAGCCATGCTGTGGCGGCGTCCCATATAAAGTAGAGGAAGATGGGCACAGATATTAGCCCATGGCCAATCTTCCTCAGCAAAAAGAGGAGGACTGGCATCGGATGTTAGCTCTGGGCTAGTCTTCCTCACAAAAAAAAAAAAAAGAAATTAATCAATCACACTCTGCCATGAATTTAAAATGTAAGCCACCAATGATAATACAATCTGGCTCTTTGTGCAGACATGCCCCGCCCCCTACCCTTCTCAAAGTGGAGGCTTCAAACCAGCAGCATCAGCACTGTTCTAGAAATGCCATATCTGGGCCTCACCCCAGACCTACTGAATCAGAAACCCCAGGGGTGGGGCCCAGCACTCGGTGTTTTAACAAACCCTCCAGGTGATGCTGATGCAGCTCAAGTGTGGGGACCACTTCTCTGAACAGACTGATGGCCCATCAACACTAACAAACACAAGACTGCATTTACCTGTTCTCCCTGAGAAAAAGGCCCATGTGCCAAGTTTAGCCCTAATGGGGAATCAATAAATGCTGTTGAGCGAACAGAACTGTTTTTCCCCAGCTCCCTTGGGGCAGAGGGCATTTTAGTATCTCCCATCCCATGTGCTGTGCCTTCAATGGACTGTGGCACTCCTCCCGTTGAGAGGTGGGGTCTACGGCCCCTCCACTTGAATCTGAGCAGACTTATAACACTATGGGACTTCCAAGGCTAGGTCATCAGAGGAGATGCAGCTGCCCTGGAGCTTTTTCAAACTCTAAATCTGGGAATCTGGCCACCATGGTGGGAGGAAGCCAAAGCAGCCACATTTAGAAGCTGTGGGTAGATGTCCTGGCTGACAGCCAGCACCAATTGCCAGACAAGTAAATGATCCAGCCTTCAGAGGATTTCAGCCCATGGCTGTCAAGCCATTCCTGACTACTGAGTATGGCTGAGGCCCCAGACATTGGGGAGTGGAGATAAGCTATCCTTGCTCTATCCTTTCTGCACTCGGGACCCACCGAATCCATGAGCATAATTAAACGGTTGCTGTTATACACCGCTAAGTGGGGGCGGTCTGTCACACAATGGTTACTGGAACAGGCCTGCTACCTAAAATGGTTTATTAGAATAGTACATTGTTTGAATAAAATGTCAAAACACTAGAAAGTAGATATGAAATAAGAAAGGTGATGGAAGGATGTTTTTTAAGATCCCAAACATACTTACGCAGCATGAAGGGCTTCCCACTTCAAAATCTCCTTCCAAGCCTGCTCATTATTCTGATTGTGAATTCTAATGATGTTATACATATCTTTCTGACTAATATCCTCTTCCTTCCACTTCCACCTAGGAAAGAACATTGCATAAAATTTGACAAATATTACTGATGATGCCATAAAGTTAATCTATGTATTCATTTCAGTGAGTCGCCAAAAACCAGACTTACACAAATATCAAGGAACCATCTATTTTTTTTTTTTTTGTGAGGGAGATCAGCCCTGAGCTAACATCCATGCTAATCCTCCTCTTTTTGCTGAGGAAGACCAGCTCTGAGCTAACATCTACTGCCAATCCTCCTCCTTTTTCTCCTTCCCCAAAGCCCCAGTAGATAGTTGTATGTCATAGTTGCACATCCTTCTAGTTGCTGTATGTGGGACGCGGCCTCAGCATGGCCGGAGAAGCGGTGCATCGGTGCGCGTCCGGGACCTGAACCCAGGCCGCCAGTAGCGGAGCGTGCACACTCAACCGCTGGCCCAGGAACCAACTACTTTTAAGGTGATATTTTTTCAGTTAGTACCACTGATTAATGATTCCTTAACTTCTTCTTTTTATATAATAGTGTTTCTTTTTTTTTTGTTTAACTACTACTGGCTATAATGGGTTAATTTTGTGTGTCAACTTGAGTGAGCCATGGGGTGCCCAGGCATTTGGTTAAGCATTATTCTGGGTGTGTCTGTGAGGGTGTTTTGGATAAGATTAACATTTAAATGGGTAGACTGAGTAAAGCAGAATGCCCTCCCTAATGTGGGTAGGCCTCATCTAACAACGCTGAAGGCCTGAACAGAACAAAAAGGCTGAGCCTCCTGCAAGAGAACTCCTCTGCTAGACTGCCTTTGAGCTGGGCCATTGGTTTGTTTCCTGCCTTTGGACTCGAACCAAAACATCAGCTCTTCCTGGGTCTCCAGCCTGCTGGCTTTCAGACGAGAACTACATGTCAGTTCTCCTGCGTCTCCAGCTTGCTGACTATGGATCATGAGGACTTCTCAGCCACCATAATCATGTGAGCCAATTCCTTATAACAAATTTCTTTATGTAAAGACATACATAACCTGTTAGTTTTGTTTCTCTGGAGAATCCTGACTAATATACTGGCTTTGCACTTATATTCTGATAAGCCTGAAAAATCAGTTTTATAAACTAATTAACTTATAAAAACTTACTGTACATTTGGGGGATAAAAACATCTTTAACATTCAATTCTTAGATGAATTTGACAAGCATATTTATATTCTCAGTAACATGCTCACTCACTTACCCTTTCCTTAACATCGCATTCCAGAACATCTGTTCAGAAGGATAAACCCACTTTTTCTCTGAATCTGCTCTTGGAATGGACGACTCCTCTCTCACAGTAGATAGTGGAAATGGCTGATCAGGGGCTGGTGTCTGATTAGGTGGTGGCATCTAAATAAAATAAGCAGAACTTTTTTTAAATGTTGGAAATCTGATAAAAAGTAGAACAAAGCAATACAATTAACCACTTCCTAGAAAGCAACATATCACGCATAAGGCACAGGTTCCCTAATTAAACCAGTGACATCAAAATTTCAGACTTCTCACATAATTTGGCTGTTTTGAAGAGTCAGAGTACTGAAGTTGTTTTTCCAACAGTTTAAGTTCTCATAAATGGTAGATACATGCTGTGGTTAAATTTTCGATCTCTTTCTGCTCAAGGATTAAGAAATAAAAACTAATATCATGATTTGCAGGCATTTCTAAAAACCTTTCTATGATGGGCTTTTCAAAAATGACTGTTCACTCTTCTAAGGAAAAGCCTCATAAAATATATGTACACCAACACTTTCTTTTTAAATATTCTTTACTTTTAAGATCTTGCTTATGCTTTCAGCCTTTGGGCTGAATCCGTTACAGATGAGTATGGACGTGCCCACAGTGGCAGACTAGAAGGAGGAGAAGAATCCTTTCTCTCAGACACAAGGGGCAGCAATACCATTATGCAGACACTTAGCCTGGATCAAGGTTTCTTGCCCTTGGCACTACTGACATTTGGGGCAGGACAACTTTTAGTTATGGGGGTCTCTTCTGAGCATTGTAAGATATTTAGCAACATCCCTGGCCTAGCATCCCTCCTGCCCAGCTATGACAACCAATGTCCCCCCAGGGGCAAAATCACCCCAGGCTGAGAAGCACTGGCTTAGAACTTCTTCTTGTGTTGAAAGTATGAAGGCTTTTCTAGAAGATGCACATTAAGTCTCAGTCACAACATGGCCCCTGGTTAGAAAGACGGCATCCAGAAGAGCCAGGTGTGCTAGACACCGTATCAAGAATTTCACCTGCATTATCAGCACTGTGTGTTTACGAACACAGGTAGCAGACGGATGGGGATTCAGTTTGGGCTCTGCCACTTCCTAGCTCAGTGATGTGGGGCAAACTGCCTCCTCTCTCTCTATCTTCGGCTCTAAAATGGGGACACTAACACTGCTGGCTGCATAGAGTTGTTATGAGGATTACAAGAGAGAACATATGGTACTTAGCACGAGGGCTACAGATGTGAGCAAAAGAAAAGTTTGCTGTTATTAATATTCTCACTACCCGTAACAATCCCATGGGGTAAGAGTGTAGGACTCCAAAAGAGTGTAGGAGCACTAGGGTGGGATGATCTAGACCAAGAGTGTACCAGGGGCCTTTCAGAAATGTCTGGAGACATTTTTGGTTGTCACGACTGAGAAAAGAGGGTGCCCCTGGCATCCAGTGGGTGGAGACCAGGGATGCTGCTCAACATCCCACAGTGCACAGCACAGCCCCACAACAAGGAATCATCCAGCCCCAGATACCAATAGTGCTGAGGCCGAGAAACCCTGACCTCATCTACTTTCTTCCTCAACATAGCAATTTCCTTATAGCTTGGCAGCATCTGTACTGAATGCCATAGACTGAATGTTTATGTCTGCCCTAAATTCACTGAACCTGCCAGCACCTTGATCTTGGATTTCCCAGCCTCCAGAAGTGTTAGAAATAAACGTCTGTTGTTTACAAGCCACCCAGTCTATGGTTTTGTTATATATATGTTATGTTAAAATATATATTCTTATATATATACAGCTCACACACCCTTTCTTTTCCAGACTAAATATGTCTAGTTCCCTCAAATGTTGCCTGGTTTGCCAAGCTTTCTAGATACTTTTGATAACCCGGTGGCCTTCTCAAGTCCAGGCCTGAGTCTGTCCCTCCATTCAAGTGTGATTCCCAACAGCAAAACTCAATTCCCTACGTTGGCTGACTATCACAAATACAGTGAAGCCACGCTTGTCTTGTCTGTGCTTTCTTGACGGCATTCCATTGCTGGCTGCCCTGTGATGCCGCACCACCCCAGTGACTCACGTGCAGGCTGGCACCCAGCTGTGCCTGAAGAAGCACCCCAATCTTGCAGTGTGCCTACGAGGTTTCCCAAGACCAGAAACACCTTTACTCACTCTAGCGGCACTCCTAATGGAATCTCCCACCTACCACGTAGTCACTATCCCAAGAGGAAATATCCCTTTGGCCTGGCTGCTTCCCAGTCAACCTGGTCTGGAGCACTTCGTGATCACCCCTTTCCTTCTCAGGCGCTCTCTGAAACTACACTTAGTAACGCATTCTAGATTTTCACTGTAGATGGAATATCAGACTTCTTAAGAGGACAGAAGAATCAATACTAGCAGTCTGTAGTCTGTCTTGCGAAGCCGTAAAAGCATCTCCACATAAAAAGTTCCAAGAAGAGGGGCCGAGCGCAGATTACCAGATTAGAAGGATCTAGGTTCTCCTTATTCTCAGCCACGGCACCGGTCATGGGACACCGGACGTACTCGTAGGCGCGATCTTGGTGGGCAGGCACAGAGTTAGTTTTGCTCTCACGGCTTGGGTCAGATGGCTCTGCACTCACTGGACAGCCTGAAATAAATCAAGCATAAAAACAGTGACACCACAAAGGCAGGACATCTGGTTCTCTCAGTCGGGGCCCTAAAGAGCTGAATTTCTGACCAGTGATTACCACCACAGGCAAAGCCAGGTTTCTACTGTTTAAAGCTGCCAAGAGCTAAGCTAGCTAACATTCTAATATCCTAAAGACCAAGAGAAGATTCTATACATTTACTTTCCCTTTGAAAGAGAAACAGGTGCCTATTCTCTTATTGTGTCATGCCCCTAGCAAAAATAAACCAAAAACACTCGACATTTGCAAGAGAACATACTGTCCATGCCATGGTTTTAATAAAAGGCTAGAAGGTACCTGCCTAGACTCAAGCTGTGAGCTGTTACGAGGAACCTAAGTGGGGCCGGGCCACACTTCAGCTGGTCTCCCTGACTTTCTCTCCCCAAGTTCTAGACAAGCCCCAGCCCCAACTAGGGCACAGCAAGTCAGGCTCTCGTTACTGAAGCCTACTTTCAGGTACTGGGGACGGGAGATGAAAATGAGCAGAGGAGCTTTCCAAAAGGCTACTGGAGTAAAGCCAGAGCGCCACTCTGCTTGTGCTTTGCTCCAGGACTAAAACAAAGGTTCTCCTCCCCATCAGTAGACAGCAAGAGTTTAACAAGAAAAGGCAGACATTAAAGAAAATGTTCCGGGCCCGGCCCAGTGGCGCAGCGGTTAAGTTTGCGTGCTCCGCTTTCGTGGCCCAGGGTTCGCAGGTTCGGATCCTGGGCGTGCACCGACGCACCGCTTATCAAGTGATGCTGTGGTGGCATCCCATATAAAGTAGAGGAAGATGGGCATGGATGTTAGCCCAGGGCCAGTCTTCCCCAGCAAGAAGAAGAAGATTGGCATCGGATGTTAGCTCAGGGCTAATCTTCCCCACAAAAAAAGAAAAGAAAATGTTGCACAATCCATGTAGGATCCAGATGCCACTTAGAAGGGAAGGCCTGAAACTATGAGAGCAGCAGCAAGAAGGGCAGTCAATGCCCAAGGATCCAGGATGCTGATGGAAGCAAGTGTGGGGACTGAGAAGCTGGTCTAAGACTTAGGAGAGGGGGCAGGTGTTAGGAGAGCTACGGCCCAGGAAGACAGCTGCTTGTGTAACGGAAGCCTCATCTCAGGCAGCAGCAGTAACACCAGGAATACACTGAATGTTGGATGCCCTATGTGAAAAAGACAAGTCCACTTTCATTTCCCTTCTTCTGCTTCTCCTTCCAGACCCTCATTCCCTAGGACCCGCTGTCCGCTTTGGGGGTGAAGGGAGACTTGCTATACCTCCTCTCCTCTCTACCATTCAAAGTGCCAGTCTTTTCTGGGTCACTGATCCCAGCTGGGTGTTAGAAAGAAAATACTGTTTACATTTTTCATATTACATAACCACTAGCCCCTTCAAACTCCTACAAATATCCACGTTCTTTAAGGCAAATAAATCTGACTGACAGCTCTTCTGGACACACAGTAAATGAAATCAAACCATAGACAGGGCTCTGTATCTCCCCGGGGCCCTTCAGAGCAGGAGCACACCTGCTTCCTCTGAATCTGTCTCAATTCTTCCTGTACAGAGAAATCCTGGAAGGGCACCAGATCTGTCCTTGTCCAAGGTCACAGTTTTTGCTGGCTTTGCCACTTACGAGCTGTGTGACTTGTAAGTTTCTTTATAAAATAATGAGAAAACCTACCACACAGGATAATGAGGATGAGAATGTAAACTCCCTAGGCAAAGGATTTTTGTCTGTTTTATACATTACTGTTCTCTCAGTGCGAAAACAAAACCTACCAGTGCTTGGCACAGAGTGGGCAGCGAGTAAATCCCTGCTGACCGACCAAGGGGAAGAACTACTACAACGCAAGGAAGCATTAGCACTCAGTAAGCATGCTGCGTTGGTTCCTCCTCTCACATCTTGAAACAAGAAGTCACATATCAGGCTGATTCAGGCCATATAAACTATGTAAAGCAGATATGGACAAATTAAAAATGAAAAACAGCTTTCCCATTCTCACCTTTGCACCTAAAGAACGAACAGCAAGTCCATCAGGTGATGACTTATTTTTACATAGATGAGAACTGCAATGGACCTAGGAGTAAGTGGTCTTGATAAATACAGTTAGATCTAGACCACGATTTCTCAACCTGGGCACTCTTGACATTTGGGGCCAGATGATTCTTTGTTTGTGGGCTGCACTCTGCACTGTAGGATGGTTAGCAGAACTCCTGCCTTCTACTCACTACATGCACCCTCTCCTCTCAGTTGTGACAAGCACAAATGTCTCCAGACATTGCCAAATGTCCCCTGGGGAGAGGGGGATCGCACCCCAGGTTGAGAACCACTGACGTAGACACAGGCAAACTTTGGGAGATGAGAGCTGATGTATGGAGCAATCACTACACTCTCATGCATTATCTCAATTAATCGTCACAATAACCCTATGAAATAATATTATTATATCCTCATCTTACACATGATAGGTAAGGACTTAGAGAAGTAACTTGTCTACAGTCACATATCTTGTAAGTAGCAACATAAGGACCAAACCCAGGTTGCCTCACTCCCAGGCCTAGGAGCCTCACTAGCATGCTATACTGCCTCTTCCTTAAAATCCTTTTGAGACCTCTCTTTTGTTTTTATTTTCTAGACAAAAGGTTGATTACCTTTCATTTTCCCTTCATGCATTGGACATCCTGAAGGTGGAGATGCTGTCTGATGATCTGAAGCATTTGAGGTCTGAACCGCAACAGCAGGGGTAGAGGCAGACAAACCCATGATTGGAATCCCAGAGCTGAATCCAGACAATTCTAAATTCACACATGCCAAAGCAAAGAGACAGATTAATGCTGAAGACTGGGATCTGACTACTCCCTTGCTATTCTTAATCTGGCCAACCCTTGTTCTTCCTCCTTGTCATCCTTAAGAAAATCCACCCAGCAGGGTATCCACTGGGAGGGTTAGCTTTAATATATTACCTCTTTGGGAAACACTAGTGTGAAATCTACACCACTCTTTGGGTGCACCTTTCTAAGAGTGTGTGGATTTGGGGGGTGAGGTGAGGAGGTCCCTGAGAAACCATGTTACAGCGAGAAGTTGTAGGCCGGGGGGGCAGGGGGTTCCAGGTGGTGATCTGGATGGGAGAGGGGAGGCCCACTGAGTCCAGACTAGACCCCTGGCCCCAGGGCTTAGCGAGGGGCTGGAAGTCTGGGAAGAGTGCAGTGCAGAAAAGGGAATCGAGGAAGGAAGGAAAAGACGGAAGAGGGCAGGGCGCGGACAGAGTCTTCCTCACAAGGTCGCCGCGTGTCCCACCTGCTCCAGCCCTGGGATCCCAGACGCCGCCGACCTCAGCCAGCCCGCCCCTCCGCACCTGACTCCTGCCCCGGGCTGCTCCGGGCGGCCGGTCCCGCCTCTAACAGTCAACTCGGCCCGGAGCGGCAGCTAACCGGCGCCGCCACCTTCCCCCCGCTCGGTCACCGCTATCGCCGCGGTCACCACCGGCGTTCACACGCGCCGCTACTTCCTCTTCCGAAGGCGGGACTTCCGGGCGCGCGGGCGGCTGGGCGCAGGCTGAAGAGGAAAGGCTTCCGTCAACACGAAGGAGTGGGCCCCGCCCTCTCCCGCCTCGACCTATAAGCACGAGGGCCGCTCTCTGGCCCCGCCCCTCTGGGCCGGAGCGGGCTGGGAGAGTTTAGGCGGGGCGGGAGACTTCTCCCAAAGTGAGGCTCTCGACTGGAGATGCTTTAAGCCCCAGAGGGGTTGCTTTGGAGGAGTTAGTTTTAAAATTTCTATCTTGAAAAGTGTATTCTGTCAGTTTTAATTGTAGTAATGACTCAAGAAACACCAGTAGGTGTCCAGAACCGTGGCCAACTCGGAACAAAACAAGGTTCCGGCTCCCAAGACCTTCTTAACTGAGTGTGTGGACTTGAAGGTCTTTTTTCACTTGCTTCTAACAGAAATTTCGTATTTTCTTCCATTACGAATGAAGGCAACAAATCTTAGTAGTGTTTGTTATATGTGGCACTAATAGAAATCACAGAGAAATTATGTCACATATGATTGTTGTTTCTGTCTCAAAATCCTATTCATCACTACTTTGAAATTAAGATAATTTTATCTTGTTACTTAAAGTGGTAATAAGAAGCATAGTCTTTCTATATCGCTGTAGTGGATCTGTGAAGTATGCCCAGATGCCCCTTCAGGACGGAGCAGTCCATCTCCAGGGTGCTGGGAGTGTTGGCAGCTGACAGCTCTGGGCTGAGGCTCTCTCCAGGAATTGCGCTCTGCCTAAAAGAACTGCCTCAGGCAAAATCACATTCTCTCCCTGGGGAAGGGCTGCAGACCATGAGTGCTCTCTGCAAGGGTACAAAAGCCCAGGCCCCTAGCCTCAAGGGGGACAACTCAGAAGGGCCTTCTTCCCAGCTTCAGAGCTGCTCGTAGGATCAGCTGAGGCTTTCATTGTGACTGCATCACGGTTCAACGTCTCGCTTTGCCCAGTCCTTCTTCCATCCCTCTCTCACAGCTGTTCATGAGGGCACGCCTATGCACAAATCTTGGAGTCTCAGCGGTTTTAATAAGTTTAATAAGTTTAATTATTATTTAGGTTTGATAAGGCCAACAGATCAGGAAAAAACTGCCATGGAAAAGATAATATATTATATTCACACCATGGGGCACCGCACAAGGAAGCACTAAGGTCAGTCACGAGGCAGAGAGAGGGGGGAAACTGTGGGCAAGAGCCTTTGTTATGGCTTCCATAGGAAGGAATGGGTGAGGCAGGGTAAGCATGTTTAAGATTGGCTAATTTGAATAATTTTAGCAGGCTCTGGAGCAAAGGGGCTGTCCCCAGTTGTCTGATACTTGGCTCTAGGGCGATTAGGGCAGGTGTATAGTGGCTCAGAGTATAAAAGCCCAATAAGGAAGGTGGTTGGGTGGTGTAAACTCAGCTGCTCAAGAAAAGGAACTGACCCACCTCTAGCCAGGGCCTCAAAACTGGATCAAGACAGCATTAAAAAAAAACGATATTACATCAATGTATATTTCCTGGGGAACCCGGCATTTAACAATCAAAAAATTTTTAATATGTTGATAACTATATTTCAAAACAATTGGTTTCTTTTGTATGCATGTAAAAATATTAATCTGAGAAGATATTCATAGACTTCACCAGACTGCAAAGGGGCATATGGCACAAGAAAGGGCAAGAACTTTTGGTAATGGGAGAGACAGGCATGCAAACAACTCAATATATGTATGGGCGAACGATTTCTGGGCAAAAATAAGAAGTGACTATCGTGAGGGTGATGTGCAGGAAGTGGATAGAAAGGAAAGAGTAAGTAACAAGAATACTTTCTAGAGAAGAAGCTGCTGAAGCAGAGTGTAAAAGAAGAGGTGTAGGTGGGTTAGAAGATTGTGGTGGGAAACCTTCACCCCTATGTCCACTCTCTGAGGGCAAAGATTTACTGCTCTTTAACTGTTTCTTCTAGTTTGTCCCTCCACATTCCAAGCAACATGCTAACACAAACACGCACACACAAACACACACATCCCGCCCCTATGCCAATAGTTATATACAATTTTGGATAAATCATGGTTTAGTATTTACATTATTATGACTATGAACATATTTGTAATGACTGATGATGAATTTGTTTCTTGTACAACTTTTTCACTAGAGTTTAATACTTGCCTTTTTTCCCTTTATCTATCTAGTTTTTAATGATTATTCCTAAATTTCCTGTCAGCGTTGTAAATCTCTCAATTCATTCAAAGATATCAACTACTCTATATGTTTCATTTTTTTCCCCTGGAGACGTCACTCTTAGATAAGCACCTCTGCCACCACCCAATTCTAGACTGTTTGGAAATGACTTCTGCCTGTTGTCTTCCTGGGGCTTCCTTTTAGCCTTTCCTGTCCTGTGCTGGGTCTCTGGTTCCTGGGTGCCATGTATTCTTCTTTGCATTGTTTTTGGAGCACATCAGTTTTTGAGATCTTGAAAATCAGAAAATGTCTGTATTTTACCCACCCACTTGATTGGTAGTTTGGATATAAAATTCTAGGTTTAGAAACATTTCTCTCAGAATTGTTAAGCAGTTGCTTCATTGTCTTCTAGTTTTCATTGTTACTGTTGAGAAGTCAAATGCCATTTCTTTTTTTTTCTTCCTAAATATTTTTAACATCTTCTCTTTCTTCCAGTGGCCTGAAAAGATGTGCCTTGATATACACCACTTTGCTTTCATTGGCTTGGCACTTGATGGGACCATTCATTCTGGAAACCCATATCCTTCACGTGGGGGATATTTTCTTGTTTTATTAATTTTCTTGATAAGATGCTCCCCTCCCTTCTTCTTCATTCTCTCTTTTAAGGAACCTCTGTTACTCATATGTTGGATTCCTAGACTGGCACGCTAATTTTCTTATATTTTTCTCTTATTTTCTATCACTTTTTCATTTTGTTTTATTTTTTAGGAAATTTTAAAAATTTCCCAACCATTTTTTTTTTAAAGATTTTATTTATTTTATTTTTCCCCCCAAAGCCCCAGTAGATAGCCGTATGTCATAGCTGCACATCCTTCCAGTTGCTGTATGTGGGACTCGGCCTCAGGATGGACGGAGAAGTGGCGCCTCGATGCGCACCCGGGATCCGAACCCGGGCCACCAGCATTGCAGCCCGCGCACTTAACCACCAAGCCACAGGGCCGGCCCTCCCAACCATTTTATTAGGTTTATTTCTGCTATCATATTTGAAATTTCCAAGACATGTGTGTATGTATTTGTATGTATGTGTGTATGCATGTATATGCATGTGTGTGTTTGTGTGAGTATGTGCATGTGTGTATACATGTGCAGATACAAGGCATGTGGGTTTGCCAGTCCCTGGTAATGTGATATGAACTGCTGCTGTCAGACCAAAGGGTTTAGCAGAGAGGAAAAATGAAGCTCTTTTGGAGTTACAAACTGAATTTGTGACTGGTCCTGGTAAAATGCGTCTCCTTTCCAAACCTACAGTTGCTTATGTTTACGAAAGTGCTACTTTTGTATTTCTCAGAGCTCCCACAATTCCCTGTCTCTTGCACAATTCTCCTTTCTTTCCCATAATTCTTTGTTTCTCCTATAATTCCCCATCTCTCCCACTGTTCTCCATTTTCTCTCAAAATTTTCTGTTCTCTTGTAATATGCCACTCTCCTTCACAATTCCCCAGTTTCTCCCACAATTCTCTGTTCTTTCGCATAATTCCCTGCCTCTCCCATAATTCTCTGTCTCTCCTGCAATTCTGTTTTTTCCCACAATTCTCTGTTCTTTCCCAGAATTCCCCATGTCTCCCACAATTCTTTATTCTCTTCCGCAATTCCCTGTCTCACTCACAATTCTCTGTTCTTTCCCACAGTTCTGTTTCTCCCATGATTCCTTGTCTTTCCCACAATTTTGGCGGGGGGTTGTTTTAATTGTTTTTTTTAATTCAGATATAATTGACATATAACATTATATAAGTTTCAAGTGTACAACATAGTGATTCCATATATGTATATGTTGGGAAGTGGTCACCACAATAAGTCTAGTTAACATCCATCACCACACATAGTTACAATTTTTTTTCTCGTGATCAGAACTTTTAAGATCTACTCTCTTAGCAACTTTCAAATATATAATACAGTATTATTAACTGTAGTCAGCTTGCTGTGCCTTATATCCCTAGGACTTATTGATTTTATAACTCGAAATTTGTACGTTTTGACCACCTTTATCCATTTCACTGCCCCCCCAACCTGCCTCTGGCAACCACCAACAATCCGTTTTCTGAGATCTTTTTTTTTTTAAGATTCTACATATAAGTGAGATCACACGGTATTTGTCTTTCTCTGTCTGACTTATTTTGCTTATCAAAAAGTCCTCACGTTCCATCCATGTTGTGGCAAATGGCAGGATTTCCTTCTTTTTTATGGCTGAATAATATTCCATTGTATATATGCCACATTTTC